TAGCGACAGAAATTCCGTCACAAAACATAGTGGCTGATACATCCGCCACTAAATTCCGACTTCAATTTGTGACGGAAATAAAATTTCGTAACTAAACATAATAGCTTCCAGGTTTTAGTGACGGACAGTTCGCCACAAATAGCCACCAGTAAGCCATTTTGTGGCAGAATTAGTGACGGATTTCCCGCCAGTAAATTCCTTGAATTCTTGTAGTGACGGACTTGTTAGTTAGTTAATTCTGATTATAAGAGCATATGAGATGATTATTGACATTAAAATATGTCACCGTGTGAAAAAAACTTTCAAAATGAGTATCTTTAATTACGGTGTTCAAAAGAGAAAAGTGAGGTGTATCAAATATTTTATTAACATCGATGTCATTTAATTTTTTTCATCTGGTTTATCAAATATTTTATTAACTTGATTATTTGAGTATTCTCTAACATTCACATGCAATCAAAATGTGCGACATACATAAACAAGTGGCCATGTGACTATGTGAGTATTTTTTTTTTTTTTTTTTGATACAACGGAAAGATTATGTGAGTATTTTTGCATGTGGAAAAGCAGTGATAAAAGTTCCTTTAGAAGAGCTTTTTGGAAACAAATATCTAAAGCGATCTCCGGCTTTCTGCTTTATCTATCAAATACTCCGTACTATGAATTTGCGAACCGCCAGAGAAGTTACGGGCTTACGGCCAAAATTTATTTGCACTGTTCGTGGTACGAAATTATTGGTTTTATTTACGAGTATCATTTTTAAATATAAGATATGCACCCACAGTTTTTTATGAAATTCTATATGACTTCATTATAGTCATATAGACTAAGTGGCCTATAGGCTATAATAGACCAATACCCATTTATTTTTAAAATTGAATAATAGTGGAGATCCCGATTTAAGAAATGGATAATAATGATGAGGTTATATGTGTTATGCGACTTCATAGTAGTATAGTTATATAGTCATGAATTTCTATCAATGGTATATTGAAGATAAAAAAGATAGAATGACTAACTTTATTTGGAATATGTAATGCATAGAATGAAATAAATTATCAATATACTCCGTATTACTTTTGGATATAAGTAAGTCTTCATGAAAGCAAATTCAAATTTGGGTGCACTTTTGGATCAGAGAACAAGTTTCCTGTTGGTTTCATTTAACACCGACAAGTTTACACAAGTTTCCTGTTGACTTATTTGAGTACGTTTAATAACATATACTCCGTAAGATATAAATCAAAATGAGCATAACCGTCTAAAAATGTTTGTCTGATTTTTCTTTATCATTGGTTGCCAACTTGTACCAATACTATTTTTCAAATGTATTATTATTTTGAATATGTCAATTATATTAAAATGTTCCTTATTTAAAAATTTCTATAACAGTATAAAATTTATAAATTATATGCAAATATATTTATTAAAATCATTACCGAAACTTTGTCACATTGATCAAGAAAAGAATATACGGAGTATATATTTTCATTCGAATACTTTACAAATACCGATTCGAATTCGTGTAAGTAGAATACGAATACGAATACAAATCTATTTTTTTTATTTGAATACTTTACAAATACGAATACAAATACTATGATATTCGATTCGAGTAATATTCGAATATATTCGAATTATATATATATATATTCATACAATATATACTACTTCTTATAAATAAATATAATTCAATGTAAAAATATTAATAACATAATATTCATGTAAATATTTTGCATATTTTAATTTCAACGTTCTTACTTTACCTGGTAAAAATAGGTTAATTTACAATTAAAATTCTTTGTTGATTTCTTTATATTGATATTAAATTTGAAGTGACTTGTATAAATATATTTTGTTTCATATGAAATATGTAATATGAAAATGAGTTAAAAGGAGCAAAATATACATCATAATTTTAATTATTTTCACAATTTAACTTTAATGTTTTTCGAATTCGAATATTCGAATTCGATTCAAAAAAGATTCGAATATATTCGAATAAATCAAACGAACGGAATACGAATATAAAATAAGATTCGAATTTTAAACGAATACGAATACAAATATTCGATAATTATACGAATACGAATAATATTATCAAGTATACGGTTCGATTCGATTCGTTTACACCCCTAATTGTAAATATTAATTTATCAATAACTTTTTCATTTAAAGTTACGGTTTTTTTTGTTAAAAAGTTAGATACCGAATGCATGACTCCGTATAATCTTTTTCTTAATTTAACATATTCATCCATAGTTTTATCAAATTATACCGTACATCCGGATGTACGGTTTTCACTGTACATTCGGGTATTTTTGTAATTGTTTCTGATTTGCTCTCTTCCTTTTATGACTCTTTTTGTATGCTCTCTTTCATCTTTGACTTTTCCTTTTTTGCTTTTTACTTAGCTTTTTGTTTTGTACTGGTAATTGTTTGTGATTTACGTAACTCTTTTCCATGGATTTTAATTATGATGTATATTTAAGGTATTAATTAATGTTTTTTTAGTTTAAGAGGAATATTTATTAGTTTATTAAATATTTAAGGTGTTAATGTTTGATTTTTTAGTTTTAGTTTAAGATGAGTATTTATTACTACTTCCGTCCCGCTATGGTTGTCCCATTTTACCTTATCGGTCCGTCCCATTAAGATTATTTCATACCAAATTTGGTAAAGTTTATGTGGCTCTAAATCATTTTTACTTTATTCTAAGTTCATCAATTCAATATCAATCACATAAACCACTTTTTATTGATTTGTGTGTCACTCCCTCTCGTCTCATTGTTCGTTATAAATGCTCAATTTATACTCATTTATGCTCATTTTTAAAATGCCATATCAATGCATATTTCAAAAGAATATGATTAATTATATTTTTTAGTTATGTGTATTGATTCGGTATCGGTGTTATGTTCATTTTAAAATTTTATATCAATACAGACGAAACTCACGCGATTAGATTGGAGCTTGCTCACATAATTTTAATGCTCAATAATAGAAAACAGGGGTAGAAAACCCAATACTTTTCATTTGTCTTTTCTCTTTTCTTCTTTTCGTTTATTTTGTTGTTGTTGTTGTTCTCTTCTTTCTTTTTTTCTTTATATACGGAGTATTAAATACCGAGCACATTAGAAATGAGTTTTATTTTAAACTCAAATGAGTAAAACGCCTAAATAGAATGAACATACACAAATGAGTTTTTGGATTTTGAAAACTCATTTTGTGCGTTATATATGCTCGATCATTCTGTAATGCTGTTATGCTTATTTTAAAATGTTATATCAATTCATATTTCAAAAGTATCATATTACATTAGATTCATATAAGAGTTGATTATAAACACGCGGGCACAAATCATGATACTCAATCACATGATTCTAGTACTCAATATCAGATGTTTGATGCTCACTGAAAATGCATTGATGCTCAACAAATAAAATTTATAATTTTCATATTAATACTCATTTTGTAAGTTACCTATGTTCATTTGGTATTGATGTTATGCTCATTTTAAAATGTCATATAATGCATATTTCAAAAGTACCATAAATTCACATATTGAAATTCATAAGAGTTGATTATAGATATAATTTAAGAATTTTTTATAAAAGAAAAAATAACAAAAAAAAGTGAATTAAAAGTTATGAAGCAGATATCACGATGTTCAACATTAGACTCATAATACTCAACAAAATAGGTTTGGTGCTCATTAAAAGTTAATGCATGCTCATTTAACAGAAACTGTGATTTTCATCTCAAGAGAGGAGGTTTGACGCTCAATGAAAGTGTCGTGATACTCAACTAACAAACCTGGCAATTTTCATATCAATGCGAATTTGGTAAGTTTAATTTGCTCATATGATACTTTTGAAATATGCATTGATATGACATTTTAAAAATGAGCATAACATCGGTACCAAATGAGCATACATAACTTACAAAGTGCACATTGATATGAAAATCGCAAGATTTGTTAGTTGAATATCAAGACATTTTAATTGAGCATCAAATATCCGCTATTGTGATGAAAATCACGGTTTCTGGTGAATGAGCATTAATTAACTTTTAGTGAGCATCAGACTTATTATGTTGAGTATTAGAAGGCTAATATTCAGAATCGTGATCTCTGCTTCATAGCTTCTAATTCACTTTCTTTTTGTTATTTTTCCTTTTATAAAAACTTATTAAATTATATTTCGAATCAACTCCTTTGAATTTTAATATGTGAACCTAATGTAAAATACGAGTAGTACTTTAAAGCAAATGCATTGATATGACATTTAGAAAATGAGCATAAGATCAGTACAGGATGAGCATACGTAACTTACAAAATGTTCATTGATATGAAAATTGCAAAGTTTGTTAGTTTGACATAACAACATATTCATTGAGCATCAAACCTCATTTATTGATATGAAAATCACAATTTCTGTTAAATGAGCATTAATGAACTTTTAATGTGAATCAGACCTATTATGAGCATTAAAACACTTTCGATGAGCATCGGACTTATCAGGAACCCAACAATATAGAATAAAATTATAAATATATTTACATAATTTAATAGTATGATTCCTAGATCAAATAAACACTTCTAAAACATGAATTAGTCTTTTAATATAGTAATAATGAGCAAAAGCAAAGAATAGTTAATATTATAATCACTATTAACAAACAATTGTAGTACGGAGTATGAAAATATATAAGATAAGGAAGATAAAAGAATGGATTATAACAACAAGGCAAGTCGGCTAGATGGTTGGAAGGCTACGTATTATATCTCAGGTCTATGGATTGAATCTCCCTGACATTTTAAGTTTTTTTAATTTTGGGCTTTGAAGCATGGACCAGTTAAGTAACTCAATTAAATTTGGGTTGGACGTAGGTGCACCCTACTCGAGCTAGCTAAGCTGTCTAAGCAGGTAAACTAAAATGCATTTAATTGCTTAGGTAACCAACTTTTGTACGAAAATGAAAATAATCAGAGTATTTAGATTTTGTCGAAATGACATGTGTGCAAGGATTAAGGCAGAGGTTGTGGGTCTTGCGCTATGAAGTTATGGACACACCTGTTTCGAACTTCTTCTTTATTGATCCCCAGATAACCAGATTCCTACTTTCCGTGCAACTTCATTTTCATTTTGCCTAATTGATAACCAAATTCATAGCTTTTTCAGATTCTTTTTCTGGGATTGATTTGCCATACTTTTCCTGCTTTGGGAAATCTTTGTACCCATTCAAGAACCTATTTCAAGCATCTTCTTGCAGAACCCATTATTGCGATCTACTTCGATCTTGACCAAGACTACAATAAATAAAAGTCATAATACTCGTAATAAATAAACCCATTCGATCAAGAACCTATTTTTAAGCATTTTCTTGCAGAATCCATTATTGATATGGTTTTGGTCAAAGGTTTGATTTTTCTTTATACAGAGTCGTCTTGATTCCCATGGCTCCGGCGTATTTGCCTCTGAGATGGGAAAGCACCGGAGAACAATGGTGGTTTGCTTCACCTATTGACTGTGCTGCCGCAAATGGACACTATGATCTGGTCAAGAATCTCCTTGAAATGGACCCTAATCTCCTTATCAAGCTCGCCTCTCTCCAGAGGATTCGCCGCCTTGAGACTCTCTGGGACGACGACGAACACTTCCACGGCGTCTCCACCTGCCGCTCTCGGGTCGCCGAAGCTCTCCTCCGTGAATCTGAAACCAGGGAAGGCCAGAACTCCCTGATCAGAGCCGGGTACGGTGGCTGGCTTCTCTACTCCGCCGCCTCTGCCGGGGATTTGGAGTTTGTTAAGGAATTGCTTGAGAGAGAGCCGTTGTTGGTGTTTGGAGAAGGCGAGTATGGCGTAACCGACATGTTTTATGCAGCAGCCAAGAGCAAGAACAGTGAGGTTCTAAGGCTACTGCTGGATTATTGCTCTCGGGATCAGTTTTCTCCTTCTCTTAAGAAGGAGATGTTAAACATGGCGGTTCATGCTGCTGCAAGAGGAGGGAATGTGGAGATGTTGAGAGAGATTCTTGGAAATTTCTCAGATGTTTTGGCTTGCAGAGATGATCAGGGCTCTACTTTGTTGCATTCAGCTGCAGGAAGAGGTCAAGTTGAGGTTAGAAGCATAATCAAACATTCAAACCTTCATTGTCTTTTACTGTGGCCTTTTCTTATAAGAATTAGTTTTTCTTTAGGCTAACACTTATAAGGGGGTGCTTGGATCTAATTTTAAAACTGCTTCTCCTTCAGGGAGCAGAAGCAGAAGTTGAAGTGTTTGAGTGAAAGTGCCGAAGTGATTCTGGTCCTTTAATTTACTCCTTGAATCAATTTTTTTAGAAGCTGGGGGACCAACTTCTGAAAATTGATTCTGATTCTGCTTTAAAAAAGAAGCAGAAGCAGAATCAGTTCCAAACACCCCCTAAATCCCTGTTATTCAATTCTAAGAGGTTACTAAGAGAGTAATTTACAATTATATATATATTAATTTATTTTATTCTAAAACGGTGCAAGACAAATACTTCAATGCTCCTTCTAGCTCAAATTGGACAGTACAACTTGAGTTGGATAAATGGAACAAATAAATGTTTCTTTGAACACATAGACAAGACCAATGTTTCACCATCACCATTATCATTACCCTAATGACGCAAAGGTTCCCACCTACGATGGGGTAAGGGGGTTGGATGTACGCAATCTTACTCCTGTAGTAAAGCATAGAGAGACTATTTTCGGATGACCCATAGTGACAATCGCGTCCAAAATTGCATGGAGTGACTGCTACTTCAAAAACAAAGCAGCACATACAGTAATTGAGCCATTTTGCTTTATCCCATCATATTCTCAAGCCAAAAAAGTGAGTCTTTGGCTCCATTGCAATGGATGAATCAGACAAGACCAAGTTTGTGTGAACAAAATTTCTATATGGGTTAGAGTCTCAGAAAACTAAAGAGAAAAAGGTGGATTATTAACATAAGACCTTATGTTAAACCGGCAAATAGATTATATTTCACATTTTCGTGTAGTTATCCTCAAGTGATTTATTACATAATGAGCCACCCAATTAAAACTCTGGCTCAATTTGTTTCTCCCTGGTTGTTTGTGTGGAGGTCAAGCCACGCTGACCCGTTTTAGGAGAGAACTAGAATCCATTGGCAGCAGACATTTCAGTAGGGGAGATAGAATTCAAATCCAGCAGTCAATTATATTAGTGAAAGAATGATAGTTGAGCGGCCCAACACAATTTTTGAATTCTATCACGTGTGCTGGTGTAATGAAAATCCTTACGGAGGCGCTTTACAGATCTAATATTTCACAGATCTTTGTATTTGGAATAAGAAGTTTATCAAGTTCATTAAATGTTGTTATTGTTAAGTCATCCCACATACATTGAATGAGACAATATAATAAACTTACATATAAGGCAACTTCAGTTACTTCTAACATCAGATTTAGATTTGCCTTTTCAGTTGAAAATCTCATACTCCATATGATAGTAGGAAATTGTTTCAGTTCATTATTTGCTTTATAAGAGTGGCTGTTTAGCTTCACAAGTGTTACCACAATGAAGGTTCTACTCCACTGTCTTGTAGTGTTGTTTTAGTCAGCTCAAAATGCAATGTAGTAATTTGACTGGTTAATTAGTTTTTTCACTATTTGTACTAAGGTTCTTGCTGATGTTGTTGATAATATATATTGCACAGGTGGTTAAGACCTTATTAATGTCTACAGAAGACATTAGCAGCTCCCAGGATAAGCAAGGGAACACGGCACTACATGTGGCTGCTTACAGAGGATACTTGGCTGTTGTTGAAATCCTTGTAGTGCCATCATCTGCTTCACTGACAAACAATTACGGAGACACATTTCTCCACATGGCTGTGGCTGGATTCACTGTCCCTGGTTTCCGTAGACTGGACCGTCAAATGGAGCTAATGAAGCAGTTAGTGAGCGGGAAATTGGTCGACATAGAATCCATCATCAACATAAGAAACAATGATGGTCAAACAGCTCTCCACATGGCAGTTATGGATAAAAACGTACAAATCGACCTGGTAGATCTTCTTATGACTGCACGCTCGATCGATTTGAATATTTGTGACAATGAAGGGAATACTCCATTGGATTTACTCAAACAGCAGCCGAAGTCAGCATCTACTGAGATTCTTATAAAAAGATTCGTTTCTACCCGAGCCGTTTCTGTGTTTGCAGATGATGTTAGCAGGAGTAAAGCCATAGTTTATAACATTAGACCGTTGTGTATTAATGGAGGAAGCCCAGGGACATCTTTTAAAATAATTGACTCTCACAGTAGTGGACTTGAAAGCTCAGGTGTATTGAGTCCTTGCCGTTCTGCTGCTGGCTCAGGTGTAAGGAAACTGCCTTATCTAAACAGTGCTGCCAGACGCCTCAAGGTTCTCTTTCAGCGGGCGTGGAAAAAAGAGGGCATCGATAAAAGTATGGAACAAAATAAGGACTGTTCGGAACCTCTTATTCCACTACGACAGAGATTTTCAACAACTCCTACACCTGGAAGCATCATAGGAACGCCACTTTCCTCGTTCGGGTCACCTTCAAGTCCACTTTCTGGATCATATTGGCCATCTCCAATGTCCACAAGTCTAGGTAACACGAGTTTGAAGGTTTTCCTGCATAATGCAGAAAAGTCAAAAATGAAACGCAAACATAGTTCATTCAATATGAGGTCGGTCAATAAGTATTTATGCTTCTCGACTCAATGCCTAGCAGTGAAGAGCACCGCAGGCAGCTCTAGACCACAGCAGGATGAAGTTTACAAGCATGCTGTCTCGGCGTGATGACTTCATAGGATTCAAAAGATATTTTCAAAGGATTCTTTTGCAAGTTTAATCCTTCCATGTTGTGACAGTGTTGAGTTTTTTTTTTAAAATGCCTTTGGAAGATGTATATGCATTTGATTTATTCAAACCAAATGCAGTATTTGAAAAAAGCTATGTACATGCATAGTGCAGAAAATCTGAGGGGTGACGTTTCGCTTTTTAGGAAATGTTCCGTATATCCTCAACTCCTCAAGAAACTCTAAACGGAGTATTAGTTTAGTTTATTATTACAATTGATTTTCATTTAACAATTTCATTTCCATGTGTTGCAACATAATTGTCATAGTGTGCTATTTTAGGATTTTCCATTCTCATATATCTATGGATATTTTTCAAGAATAAGTTTAAGAGAAAAATTCACAAGTGTGAGGGGGAAAGGAAAGGGAGAGGTGAGGACTCTGAGGAGGCTAGGGGGAGAGGGGAATGAAAGGTTTTGAGAGATTTTTGTGTTTGGTTTAATAAATAATATGAGGTCAATATAGAGTATATGAATCATTCAAAAGTCAATTCAAGCTGTTTCAAGTTTCAACTAATACAGAAAGAAGGTATGTTATTGAATAAAGCAATTTTTTTTGAGAAAATTTATAAAGCAATTTTGATAAAAAGAAAATGGATATATCATCACAATCATGATCTTCATCCTTTTGTTACAATTATTAAAATAAAATTATATGTTATTGCTATTACTATTATCAATAATAATGGAGTTTTTTTTTCAAACATTTTTTTATTCCAGGGAGGTCTTGGGAGGTAATCAGAGCTGAAACTCACTCCATTGAGTTTCGAACCCTTGCCTATCGGATTTTTGAACTCGAGACCTCTCACTAGGCACAACGACCTCACAACCAACTGGGCTGGAATGCTTGGAGATAATAGCCCTAAATATGACTAAACTAATCCCTAAATGCATGAATACGACTATGTTATTTATCTTTCTAAAATAGGACTAAAGTATACTCTATCTTCCTATTATGCCCTTATCATAACTTAATAGGATAATTACATTTAATTTGTAATAAAAAAGTTAACGTATACAAAAATCGTAAAAAAATATAAAAAATTAAATAATTTTAAAAAATACTTAGCTAATAAAAGTTAAAATAAATAAAAATAATAAACTTTAAAAATAAATAAATAAATATAGATAAAACACCTTAAAATTGTAAAAGAAATATGGAGGCCTTTCCCACGGTCTAGGCCACTGCCTAGCCATGATTCTTCTAATCGGCTAAAAATGTCATTTTGTGTAAAAATTTCATTTTTTTCTCTGAGAATGCCATGGAGATGGCATTTTTATTCTTTGAAAATGTTAAAATTTTCTCGAGGGAAATATAGTGTTACATGTTATTTTTCGTAGTTGCTTCTTGTATATAAACATATGTTGTTACTGTTTTATTATCATTATTACAATATACTCTTTAGAATAATCATTGTCTATTAATACGAGGGAAATATAGTATTTACATGTTATTTTTCGCAGTTGTTATTGTTTTATTATCATGATTACAATTTACAATATATAATAATCATTGTCGATTAATGTTGCAGTGTGGGTTGTATGGTTGTAGTTATCACTATCCTTATCAATATTCTTCCACAATTGGTTAATTATATTATATAGTAACAATAACTATTTAGCACGGAAACTCTCGGGAGAGAGTAGGTTTCCCGTTTCGGAAACTCTCTGAAACTCTTTGGAAACTCTCCAAATAAGTATTTTTTGAAAAAGGTTGACGCTTCCCGTTTCTCGTTTCCTCATGATTGTTTGCGTTTCCGTGCAACATGGAACAATAGTAATAGCGAGGAAGCGGTCCAGCCCAGCTGGTTGCCGACTCACTCTCCCTTATGAGAGGTCCCGAGTTCAATTCTCAATGGAGTGAGATTGATCCCAATTTACCCCAGACCCCCCTAACCCCCCTCCCCCGATGCCCCTTGGGGTAAAAAAACAATAGTAATAGTAATAGTAATAGTAATAGTAATGATATTGGTAATGATAATGGCAATACAATAATATTAATAATGATTACGCTAGCTATAAATTTAATGATAATTATAATGTAATGATATATTATAAAGAAATCGTTAAGGTCATGGTATACAATGATAATGATAATGACAATGATAAGGATAAGGATAAAGATCGGACCGGTAAGGATAATGATACTAATAAAGATAATGAAAATAATAACGACAACAATGACGATAATGATAACGAGAATGATTGCATACGACAATGTTATTGTAATGATAATTATATAATTGATAATGATAATGATGATGTTAATAATAATGTTAGTGATTATGATGGTGATAATGATAATGCTAGTGATTATGATAATGATAATTATAATTATAATATAATGATACTCATAACGGTAATGACAGTGAAAGCGACGACAATGATGATGATAATGATAATGATAACCAGAGGCGGATAAAGATAATGACAACGATAATGATAATGATAATGATGACGATAAAGATAACGATGATGGTAACGATAACGATAACGATAACTATAACAATAATGATAATGACAATGACTATGATAATAACAGTAACAATGACCGACAAGTGTAATGGTACTAATAATTATAGTTATGATATTGATAATGATAGCAGTAGTGATATGGATAAAGATAACAATAATGATAACATTAATGACATACATAAGTGTAGCGATAATAGGGGAGGATCTATGTACGAGACTATGATAGGCTGAAACCCAGGACAACTTAGAATTTTTTCATTTTTTTATTGTAAATTTTTTCACTTTTAACATTTAGCCGATCCCACTAATATTTAAGCCTAATATAATTTCTATTCAGCCCAGAACATCTCATATTCCTGGACCCTGAGCGATAACAATAACGTGTAACACTAACATGAATAATAATATGTATATAAATTGTATTTTTGTGTATGTCATTATGTGTTCTAATATCAACACCAATATCACCAATTAGGACATTGACAATACCAACAATAAATGATGTTTCATAGGTCAGTTTAAACAATTCCAACTCAAGTACAATTCTTGTTTGTTGATAAATGATATTTCGTAGGCCGTGTCTTGTAACATTATATATCAACTAATTTTTTCTAAAATTACATTTATATATTTACCCAAATCTTACCTAAAAAGAAAAAATATTACTTAAATCATTGCTCGCAGAACAATGTATATCATAATCATCAATATTCGCTTAAAAGGAATACAAAACATTAAATGTTAAAGAGATGTGAAGACTGAAAAGACGTGTCTTTTATTAATTCATTGCGTTTCATTGAAAACTACAAGTGGTCCTACTAAAAATTAAAGTATATTCATTTTTTAAACTTAGCTTCGCTTAAGACATTTTACTTATGTTCTATTTTTTTCAATTGTCAACAAAAATTAAACATTAGAGCATTAGGCCAAATTAATTGAACTTAAAAACAAAAAAAGAAGCCTACTCACACTATCTATATATGGAAAAAAATTGGGCCTATTTTTGTCTATCTACATTTTCGGGCGTAGGCCGGTCGCACCCGTTGTTCCCCCTCCAGGACCAGCCCTAATTGCAGTGGTACTGTAGCCGTTTTTTGAGTGAGATTCTTATCAAAGAAGAAACTGAAACAATTAATTTGATACTCTAAAAAAGGCAAATGTGATAACTAAATAGATACGGAGGGAGTAGTTTTTTTTAGGTTTTCAGTTTTTGGTTTCGATCGGTAAAAAAAACTCCGCTAATAAAGGATAGCAATCGCATCATCGCATATTCGCATGTACACTAGTACAGTACTAATACTACTATATATGTATTGGGCTTTGACCCAAACAATACGAATTGTATGTTAGGCTGTGCCCAAAAAAGCATGTATTGGTCTCACTATATTATTTACGGGCTTATAAAAGCATGTACTATGTATGTAAATGGGCTTACAAATTGCAACGAAAGACCAATTCTTATAACTAGGAAATCCGAATTATGGAGGGTTTAATGCACCAAACCCCCCTGTGATTTGAAAATTCGGCGCATTAGCCCCCTGTGATTTAAAAAATGTATCAAACCCCCTTGTGTTTTAATTAATCATGCACAGAACCCCCTTTATGAATAAATTTAACGATTTGAAAATCACTTTTTCTAATATTTTGAATGAATATGCAAATAAATATGTCAAAATTTCTGAATCATACAAAAATGTTAATCATTTTTCTTTTATTTGACAATTGAATTTGTTCACATAAGGGATTTGGCGCATGATTAATAAAAACACAAGGGGGTTTGACACATTAATGCGCCGAATTTCCAAATCATAAATCATAGGGGTTTGGTGATTAAACCCGAATTTATGGAGGGAGTATTCCCGCCAATTTGCGTTCACTTTCAGCTTTCATCGCCACTGTGGTACAAACTACAAACCTAATCGGAGACCTTAGCTACGGCAATAGCCATGGACGAGGAGATCGCAGCTGAACTCAAGAAGAAAGGATTCATTCTCCAAGACAAAGAAGACATACTAGAAAAATGTAAGAGATACGCAGTATAAGGTTTTGAGAGGAAAAAGTTCATTGTTTCCTGGTAAAAGGTGTACGAATAAACTTCCGTGACTAAACTGTTAACTGTTCTCTCTTTAGGTCTGACATTTTGTATACAATACAAGCTCAGCGCGTCAGATCTGGCCATCAGCTGGGAGGTTTTCTCACTCAACAGGTAAGTCATTCTATAAATAATCCCTTAAGAGTTCTCTTATTAAAATAAAGATTTGATAATCAAACATTGGATTTAGGAGTTAATTGCTTGATTAAATTGAAGAGGGAAACTAATTGGAATGAGCGCTCCTGTATTGATTAAGGAAACTGTCAAAATGTCTCTGTCTGAATTCTTACTGCCTAAAGCTTATTATATCCATCGGGTTCTTTTAGAATTTAATTGATTTGCAGAGTATACAATTCATTCATTCGCTTTTTCCATTTTCAAGGATAGGTGGGCAAATGAATAATTAGCTAATAATTTATTATAATTTTAATGGTATGCAGTTTCAATTATTTCCTCCAATTTGGTATGGACTGAGAATCTATCATGCATTTTTGTTTGATTTGATGATTGGAAATAAAGTTTGACTCATCTACATTTGTATCAGAGGGCTAGAATTTACTGTAAAAAGTTCAGATATGGGTGCATTTCTACAGCATTTGCAAAGCGAGCAGAGAAGTGCAATTGTCAAGACAGAACCTGGTCTGCATTACTACTCCAACGATATTGTAATGTGCGTACTTTTCTTTAAATCCTATCTTTAGGTTCTTTCATTTGTTACAGTGAA